AACAGGCTCCCACCTGTCTCTCCGACTCTTCTCTGTGGCTCTTCTCTTTATCTTGATTGGCTATTTGTGTACCTACCTACCTCAGTCTTTGTAAGAAAAAAATGTTTTGTATTTGAGTGAAGTGTTACAAATCGTATTTCTTTCTCGCACAATATACACAGACATTTTGTTTTATACCCTTAATTACCATAGATTAACACAATTAACAGGGAACTTCGAAGGCCTAGTGATAAGACGCTGTGCTGCAATCCCCAAAGCCCATGGTTTGAATCCATCAGCTGCTTCACAGGAGGAGGGTAGGCAGTCTCCTCCCATGGGACTTACTTCTCCAAATACTCACTGGAGGGTCAGCTGTGGGTCGGTTCTGACTCAACAACGAACAACCACAACAATGCAAATAACGAACTGTAACGTCTAAGCAGCACCTTACTGTGTGTCGCCTGTCTGTGCACCTGCCTTCTCTAATGACTCACTTTACTCCCTTTCACCCGGTTAACCCTGCAGGGTGGATTCCTTCTCTCTCTGGTTTGGATTCTCTGTCTCTGTTTCTCTATGTTTATCTCTCTCCTTCAGATCTCCCCGCTCTCCTATGAAATCGGATCCATGGCCAAGGCCTTCACTTCTCAAGGCTTCTTGGCGTTTCCTAAAATAGTGATGTTCTCTTACACAAGCAAGGCCGTGACGCCTGCCAGTGAGTCGGCACTGACGCATGGCCTGCCTCTCATCTACCGGCTGTGCCCTTGGCCTTGGTCTGCTGGCAGTTCCTGTTGGGAGGAAGCCCTGCTCTCCCCGCAGGGGACCCCCTCAGCTTGCCCACGGTGCACTGGCCTTGTGCGCGCTGCAGCTCCAAGGAGCCTTGTTCTTTGTAGAGGGGGGTGGTCCTCAGCCACGGCCTGGGCCCTGGGGCTCATTGCTCCCAGAGTGTGACTCCAAGCCCTTCAGGGGGACGTGGACGCACATGCAGCTGGAACGTGAGCACACGTGGGGGCCACGCAGGGGCTGTCTGTCCACCGTCAGCACCTCCTTTCTATGCAGCAGCTCAGCCTTTGAAGCTTGTTACCCACCCCGCTTCCTGTCCCTCAGCTCACACCCCACCAACCACACGGACACAGCCCCAGGCAGGGTCGCTGGCCACTTCTCCTGGCGGCAGCCTCGCCCTGACCCCAGCACCACACACAGCACGCTGGCCACTGCCTCACACCCTGCTGCCATCTGTGTCCCCACACGACTCTTGGGGGTCTCATGCTCCAAGCTGCTTCTGGGGATTGGACATGGCTGACCTCTGTGCTATTTCCTGCTGCTCCCTGTCCCCTGAAGGCTGTGACACCCTGGGCCCTCTCGCCTAGGACATCCAGATCTCCTTGTGGCCTCTGCAACCTTTCATTCCACATAAACTTCCTTCAGCGTGCCTGTGGCACCACCAGTCCAACCCCAGGAAACCAATCTCACCACCTCTGCACCTGCCCTCCTGCCAGGTCTCTCCTCTACTGAACGCCCCCCACCAGCACTCTCCCCAGCTCCCCAAATCTTGTGGTTTCTGCCCCTGAGCGTTGCTCGTGTTGAGCTTGTATCGCCTCCCCTCCCCTCCTCCCAGCTTCCTTCCAGCCAGTCTCCACCTGAAGCATGTTCTAGAACGTGCATCTGCCAAGGATGGGAGGTTTTCCTGAGACCTCATCGTCCGCCAGCAGCTCAACAACAAGCTTCATGGACAGAACCCTGTCCAGCCTCCTGGAGCTGTGTGGGCTGCAGGGCCCCAGGCCCGGAGGAGGCGGGCAGGGGTCCTCCAGGCCTGCCTCATGGGCAGTGGGCATGTCAGTGTTCATTTTGTTTCCCCCATAATCCTCTCTGATGTATCTATCACTCATCCACAGATCCCAAAGTGTTGGCGATTCTGATCCTTACTTCCTTCATTACATTTTATTTAAAATGATTTTAAGGATAGATTTTCTTTTTTAGTAATGTAGTGCATCACATGTCGAACTGTTCACCAAAAGTTGTTGGTTCAAGCCCAGCAGCTGCTCCTCAGGAGAAAGACGGACAGTCTCCTCTGTGAAGACGGGCAGCCCCGGAAAACGAAGGTGCTTCCCCAGGGGCCAGGACCCACTAGACAGGAGTGCAAGTCTATTCTTTAGAGAACTTTAGAAAACTCTTTAGAAAAATAGTGCAGCAAAACTACTACGAGATATCATCTCACCTCAGTCAGAATAGCAAAATTTAACAGACCAGCAAACAACAAATGCTGGCGAGGTTGTGGAGAAACTGGAACCCTTATTCACTGTTGGTGGGAGTGTAAAATGGTGCAGCCACTGTGGAAGGTAGTGTGACACTTTCTCAAAAAGTTGCAAATAGAGATTACTATTTGACCCAGCAATTTCACTACTGGGAATATATCCCAAAGAGACCATAACTGACATCCAAGCACATATATGCACACCCACGTTTATTGCGGCTTTGTTCACAGTAGCAAGGAATTGGAAACAACTTAAATGCCCATCAACAAATGAATGGATAGAGAAGCTGTGGTATAGTCACACAATGGAATACTATACCGCAGTGAAAAACAAGGAACTCATGTAATATTATTCAAAATGGGTGAGCCTGGAGGGCATTATGCTGAGTGAAATATCTCAGTCACAGAAGGACAAATACTGCATATACCACTGTTGTAAGATGGGAATGGCATTGGGATTGAAGGGAGACTGAGAAAGATGGGATAAATTATGTATACTGCATTGAAACAGATGAGGGAGAGAACTGTTTAAAAGGGATATATGATTAGGCATTATTGTCATGACAGGGGTCCAGAACGAAGGCTGCGTAGTGGAGTCGACTGGGGGGAGGGATTGTATAACAATGAAAGAATATTTCTTTTACTTGTCAAAGAGAAGACCACATTTGGGGTGAGGGGTGGTCAGGGAGAAAGGTGCAACAATGAATGAATGGAAATCCAAAATCTCTGTAAACTTTCATTAAAATTAATAATTAAAAAAATGGAAAAAACCCAAGCTCAAATTAAAAAAAAAGACCCAAAAAAAATTTCCTTGCATAACTTAAAAAAATAATATTTCTGCAGAAAGCAAAGTTCTCATATCTCTTCTTTGCCCTCTATACTCACCTTTTCCTGTGAGTAGTGTCTTGCACGGGTGGGATACATTGTTGCAAGGGCTGGATCACTCTTGACACTTGGTTACAATGGTTGGGCCAATGTCTATACCCATTGCAATGTATGGACCCATCTAGGTACACTGCTACAACAGATGAACAACATATTGCAAGGAACAGCAAAGGTCAATCTTTTTACATTGTTACAAGAGATGACCTGATCTTGATACATTATAACAATGAATGGGGATGAAACTCATTATACATTATTATGACTGGCTCAGATCAGTTACATTTTTATAATGGATGAGCTAAACTTGATCCATTACCATTAATTTCAGTTCACAGAGAGCTCACTCTGTGCTGCACAGTCCTACACCTTTTGATAGATATGTCCTTCCATGTGCCCATCGTCACAGTATCATGCAGAAGAGGATCACTGTCCTGAAGAATCCCTTAAGCATCTCTGCCCTCCCCCTCCCCACTAGTCCCTGGTCACTATTGGTCTGTCCTCTGTCTCTGTGGTCTCGCCTTTTCCAGGGTGCTCTGCAGTGGGGATCCTGCAGTGTCCAGCCTTTTCAGGTTGGCTTCTTCTGGTGGCTTTATTCTGCTCTGTGCCATTTCTAGATTTTGCATAGTCTGCTTTGAGTGACCAGATGAATTCACTTATTTGTCAACTGCAGTGTGGCAGTGATTTGAATGTTTTATTTCTTTATTTGCATGGCCCACTTAGACTTCATTTATTTGTTCAAATTTGTTCATTTATTTGCTCAACATTGCAAATGTCTTAAATCCATGATCCAACTCAAGAATGAGCACGTTCCCCAGGCCTACATCTCTTAACCATTGCTACTCCACGCCGTCCCTGTCCTACTCACTGGAACTTTGTATCTGGGGTGTTTTTGCCTTTGCAAAGTAGTATTCTCAAGTTGAAGGGTGGCTGGGAGATACGCCAGGCAGCAGGCCTGGGTGTGAGAGGTTCATACTGTCGAGGGAAAGCAATAGAATCCTCCACCAGAGGTCCTGTTGGGAGAACTGAGGCTGAGTCCCTGCTGGAGGGCCACTGAGCTCTGGGGACCTCTGATGCCTGTCCCTCATGACAGGCTCAAGGCTGAGCCATACCTGTGTCCAGCAGATAATTGCTGGCCCCCAGAGAGCAAGGTCAGGGTGGCCACATTGGCAGCATCACCCTTGTGAAGCCTCCTGGGGACTGGCTTTTCCCCAGCATCTGAGCTATGGACCTGGGAGGCCCCAACATGCAAAACAGGACAAGGGTGTTGATGCTGCGCACAAACCAGTCGCGATCCCCTAACAAAATGTGGGTGCAGACCAGACGGCTCTGTCACTGATCCCCAGGCCCTGAATGTGAACTCCAGCCCAAATGGACTCTGTCCCAGATGTGCCCTACCTCAGCTGTCTCACTGCCCAATTGTGGCCCTGCTCCCGTGTGCCCCACCTTAGATGCACCCGCCTGGATATGCACCTGCCCAGGCATGTCGCCCCCATGTGCTGTCCAGCCCATTTTGGCCCCAGCACAGGTCTCCCTGCCCAGGTGGATGCCATGACCCTCGAGAGGGAGAATCCTAAGGCAGGTCTGTCTGTCTGCAGCGCACTGTGGGGCATGGTGCCCATCTCCTCGAGGCATGGGTCTGACAGGGCATCTCCAGGGAGCCCTGTACAGACTCACCCACACCAGGTCCTGTGGGTTGTGAGAGGTGGCCAGGCACCAGGTGAGCTCCCCATTGGTGACCCTCTGATTCATTCTACCCCGGAGGTGAGCAGAAGCTGGGGGCAGTGACTCGGGCAGCACCACACCAGGCCAGTCTTGGGGATGTGCAGACTTTATTGATCGGCGAGGTGCTCTGGCCCAGCTCCACGTGGCCCTGCCATGTAGGTGTCTAGGACTCAGACTCGAACATCTTCTTGCGGCCCTCCATGCCAGACTTCTCCTCAATGTTCTTCCTCCAGTCACCCACGTCGCGCAGGTCCCGCTCCTGGGGTGGGGGACACGCTCAGGCCCAGCACAGGGATGGGGCTCCCAGTGCTCATTCTGTGCCCTCCCCCAGGGCAGGCACCCTCCACAGGGCGGGTGCCGTGTGGCTGGTGCCCAGGACGCAGCCTGAGCAGGGCGCACCTTCTCTGTGTCCTCCTTCTTGACCTGCTTCAGGTTGGCCCTCAGGTCCATGCACACTTTGTGCTTGGAGCCCAGCAGGGCCTTGAGCATGGCATCGGCTGACATCCGCACACGGCGCAGCGGGGGCCTCTTGAACTTGCCTCTCAGGTCGAATAGCTTCTGGTTCATGTCCTCCAGCTGGTGGGGAAACACTGGTGAGCCCTGGGCTGAGCTCGGCCACTCCAGCCCCAAGGGGCTGGCACCCTGCCTTCCCACCACCCGGCCTCGCCACCTCCCCTGGCCTCACCTCTGTCATCCTTCCTATGGTTCTCACCCCGCCACATCGCCCACCCCCACCTGCCTCTTCTGCTTGTCCCCCACAAGCCCCTGCCTGATTCCCTTACCTGCCCTCACTCACCCCCACCTGCCCACTACCTGCCCCTGCTTGCCCCGCCCTCCCCCCGTCCCTGCCCACTGTGACCCCCCGACCTGCAGGCTCTCACCTCCTTAGTGCTCTTCTGCACCTTCACCTCCATGTCGTACTTCTCCTCCTCGGCAGCATCCACCTTGGCGTGCAGCTGCTTGCAGAGCTCCTGGGGGCAGGAGGCACCGTGTCAGGTTCCCCGCCGAGCAGGCTCTGCCCCAGACCCCGGGAGGCCCTGCCTGGTACCTGCACTTCGGCCATGGAGCCAGGGATATGCAGAGGGGGACAGTGCTCCTCCAGGTATGTCTGCTTCTCTGTCTCCCGGCGACTCTCCTCCTTCTCCAGCTCGGTGGCTGCGATCTGAAGCATGACACTCTGCGGGCAGAGGTGGTGAGGGGCTGCAGCAGGACTCGGGCCAGTGTCCCATGGGCCCTGGGACCTCTGTGGATCCCACCACCCCCACAGGCTTTGCTGTTTCCCCCAGGCCCCATGACCACCCCATGGACCTGGCTGCCACCTCACAGCCGGGCCAGTCCCCTGAAGACCCCCCTGTCCCTGCAGAAGCCTGTCTCATTCAGAAGCCCTCCTAGCCCACAGGCCGGGCCAGTCCCCTGAAGATCCCCTCCTTCCACAGACCCTGTGCAGAGACCCTCCCATCCACAGGCCTCACAGACCCTCAGGCTACGGTACCTTCAGGTGCTGCCTCCGGGCCGTGATGGCCCTGTTGCGTTTCTGCAGAGTAGGAGACGGGGAAGAGATGAGGCAGGCAGAGAGGAGCCCAGCACCCTGCACCCCCGTGCCCTCTCCATACCAGGGCATTCATGCAGGGACCAGTAGAGAGGGGTCCCCCAAAGCTGAGCTCAGGGACTCTGCTGTGTGGAGACAGCATTGTGCCACGGCTGGCCCCATTCCTAAAGGCCTGATGGGGGTGGGGGCACAGACAGAAAAGGGAAGCGACCCCCACCCCGGGACCAGGCTACAGCCCCACTTCCTCTGTCCATCAGGCAGTGTGCACTACTTCCTGTTTCCTCAGTGTCTTGGGAGCCCTGGGGTGGGGCGCCTTTATACAGAAAGATGGCTGTCTGCCTTCATCTGGGTCTTGAGCCTCTGATTTCTGCCTTCTCCCTAATGGGTCCGCCCTCCTCATGTGCCACGCACACCCTCCAGCAGATACGCACCTCATCACTGTGCCAGGGGTTGGGGAGGAGGGAGAGAGAGAAAAGAGGTTAGGACATGGCCGTGGGCAGCAGAGCTGGGGTGTGGGGGCAGGGGTGATGCCCTACAGGTGGGGAGGGAGGTTAGGACATTGCCGTGGGCAGCAGAGCTGGGGCACAGGGTAGAGGTGATGCCCTGCAGGTGGGAAGGGAGGGAACAGTAGGCAGGTGGGGACAGCACTTACTCCCCCATCCTGATATTCTGAGTTCACAGCCTGTGAAGGAAAGAGGTGGGCGTCATGTCATGTCCCCCTGCAGGACTCAGCACTGTGGTCCCAGCACTCATCCTCACCCCCCCAGGAGGGAGTGGTGTCTTGGAATTCTGGGTGGGGGGAGGATGGAGTGTTCAGGGCACCCATGGTGAGGCCTGGAGGAGCTGCAGCTGTCCCTGAGGGAGGGGGCTGTGTGGACAGGCCAGCACAGGTGTCGAGTGGCCACAGGGCTATTTTTAACTGAGTTTTTTTGGCTCTGGGCCGAAGTAGACACAGGGCTCCTTGATCTGGCTTGAGGACATAGCTCTGGGGGTCCCTTGACCCATAAAACCTCCCTCTGGGGTCCCCAGGAGGGAGCCCTGGACATCAGGGCTGCCCGAGAGCCCTCCCCATCCCAGCTGGCTTCCCTTGCGCCCGGCTCTTTCTTCTTGTGCTCAGTCCCGAAGACCCCCACCCCCATATACTGCTGCTATGGGTGGCCCCCAGCCCAGCCTGGCCCTGCCCCGGGGAGTACTCCCTCAGGCTGCTCTCAAGCCTGCCCTCGCCCAACCTGGGCTCCTCAGGCCTCACCTCACGTCTGTGCTGCGATGTGGAGTGGTCAGCGTGTCAGGCTGGGGAGTGGGCCGGGGGAGGGGTATAAATGGCCTCCCCCAGGCTGGGCCCCAGCTCAGTAAGGGCATGGAGTGCTCTCAGACCAATGGGGGCCCAGGAGGCCAGCTGGAGACTCCCCACCTGCCCAGGCTGCCTGGCTCAGCCCAGTCACCGCGTGCTGCCGCCCCATCCAAGAAGTCTTATGGGGAGGGCTGTGGTCAGGACGAGCTATTTAGGGCTCGGTGATGAGTTGGAGAAGCTGTACCTATTCTTGCAAGGAGCCTGGGGACAGGGACACTCAGCGTCCTTGCTGGCATGTGTGGAGCCGGCAGGGACGGAGTGTCCAGTGTAGCCGGGTGGACTTGTGTTGAGTCACCCACTTCTTGTGAGGGTTCCACACGTTTCCACCACAGTCCACGCAAAAGTGTTCCCTAGGGTGTGCCCACTAGCGCAAGTCCACCTCCATCCGTGTGTGCCTTGTGTCCTGGGGACTCTGTCCCCCACCAGCCCCAGGACTGTCACTTGAAAGCCGGCTTTGGTTCTGGAGAAGGTGCTGCGGGTCTGGGGGAGTGACAGTGGCCAGTTGTCCCTGCAGCAGACTGAGACGCGGCTCCCTCCACATGAAAAACAAATGCCAGTCAGTGGGGTCTTGTTCTGTCCACCCTGCAGGGAGTAGATGTCAGAAAAATGGTGTCCCTGCACACGGATTTTCTTTAAATTGTGAGTTAAGGTTTGCTGAGCAGGCTGGCTGTGTCCCCCCTTCGTCCACATTTTGTTCTAGAACATCAGCGGCTCGTTCACTCGCTCTCCTCTCTGCCTGTTCTGTCGGGACAGACCCGGAGCTGACCCTTGATGGGTTCTGAGGCTGCAAACCCCCCAGGAGGAGACTGCCTGTCCCTCTTCTGACGAGCTGCTGGAACGCCCGAGGGGCCTGGCCTTTGGGCCAGCAGCACAGCCCTCCAGGCCTCCGGAGCTCCCCTCCCGCTGCTGCTTTGCGGGGACTCATTTCACTCAGGCCTCTGCACCTCCGGCTCCTGCCCGCCAGGCCGTGTCCTTGAGGAAATGCTGCCCTGGCACAGCCGGTTGTTCTGAGAAGGGAGCCTGCCTGGGGCTACTGCTCGCCTGGAGCTGTTTTCTGGTTGAAAGCTGAGTCACGGGAGTGAGCCCTGTCCTGGGTACAAGGACTACAGAGGGCTGAAGCTGGGCTCCACCAGCCTCCACAGGACGAGAAGGGCTGGTGCTTTAAGGGCTGTTCCACCCTTGGCCCCGGCTTGAGCCAAACACCCCACTGTGCTCCCTTCTGAGTGCATGGGCAGCAGATCTGGGCACCATGTGGACCCTCTTCTCAGAGCCCTGGACTTGGGGCTTCTGTGCTCCCCAGACTTTGGGGTGCCTCGTTTGAGAGCCTCTTTATTTCCTGCAGGTCTCTGAACCGAGACCTGTGCCTTGGAAGGCTGTGGCAAGCTTCTGAGACCTGTGGCTTGTCACCAAAGCAGGATGTAGAGCCTTGCTTTGTGACGATGTCACACCCCCAGGACTCTGGTTCCAGGGTCCCAGCACCTCCCTCCTCAGGGTGTCTGCTTGCGAGTGCGGACCTCGGACATCTCCAGTGCATGAGTGCTGGTGGCTGGGCCTCACGCTGGCTACAACCAGCGGCCTGTGAACAACAGGCCAGAGCCCCGGCCTGGCCTGAACCGTCCTCCCCATGGCCGGCAGTCTGTCAGTCAGTCAGTCAGTCAGTCAGGCGTCCATCCACCTCGGGGAGGAACCTCCGCTCTCCTGCGGGCCCTTCCCAGTCTGACGCCTTTTCCCAGGCCCCTCCTGACACCGAGAAGATTCATCTCCCCCCTCAACGAGCACCTGGTTGCACTTCCTTCAGGAACGGCGTCCCTGCTTCATTCAAGACTCTTCACCAGCACCGCAGTTCAGACCCCGATTCTCCTTTGCTCTTCCTGAGTCACTGTCCAACTTGCAGATGGAGATAAACGGAAAATACCACGGCTTGTGGCAGATGCACCTTGGTCTTTAAACTGACATCCCTGCTCCTCAGCACACTGCCGAGGTCCCCGACAAAGATTTTTCCAGTACAATGTGTCTGCGGATTTCCTGACAGCTGATCCCAGGAATGTTGATTGTGGATCCAAGTCATGAAATGACTTCCAGCTTCAGCCTTTGCTCTGCTCCCCTGGGCTGTGATATTACACACACGTGTACTGACAGCAACAATTAACACTAATTAATGTGCATGTACAAAGAACACCTGCCACGCCTGTGGAAGGTCAGGGGCCACCCCTCCACCTATCCATCTGTCCACCCGTCTGTCTGTCCGTGTGCTGGTGTCTGCCCGGCTTGTGAAACTCCCTCCGTTTCCCCTTTCTCTGGTGACAGAGTGATGACCCTCTGTTTGTGGGCACCACCTTTTCACCCATCTGGATGTTGTTGTTGTTGTTGTGTACTGTCAAGTCAGAGCTGACCCATAACTGACCCTCCGGCGGGTTTTCAGAGGCGGTTAATCGCACAGGAGGAGACCCTTCGAGTGCAGAGCAGCTGGTGGATTCGAACTGCGTGCCTTTGAGGGTGCGCCACAGCAGAGCACCCTGCCCATCTGAATTCGCGCCTGCTGTTTCCTGCTGTTGACATGTCTCTCCCTCCTTCTCATCCCCGGTAGCACCCATGAGTGTGTGTGTGAACTACAAAGTCTTTCCCCGCTGGTGCTGTGCACACTGTGTGCTGTGTGGAGCGTGCCTGGCTCGCTCTGCACATCTCCTAGATCCACGAGCGCTCTGCCGTGCTTCGGGACGTCCTTCTCGCTCCTTGGTGTGGCTTAGTGCACCAGGAGACCGGGTCTGCAGGAAGGGGCAGGGGCACTCGGGGAGACAGAGGCCAGCCATGCCAAGGAGGGTCTCAGACAGGGTGAAAAATGTGAAAGTGCTGTGTCCACGAGGGAAAAGCACGCAGAGCTGGTGTTTGCTCTGCTCTCTGGGTACCTGGCACGGACAGTGGGCCCTGGTGATGCACAGTGGAGCGGTGCAGCTGACCCAAATGTGTGACTTCTGCTGGCTTCTGACTCAGAGACAGAGAGTGACCCCGGACCGGGAGTCCTTCACGAGCAGGCCCAGGGCCTCAACACTCAGGGTGCTGGCTGACGGACTGGCACACAGGTCTCCCCCTGGCTCAGCCCCTGCCCGCTCCAGCTTTGGGCTCTGGTGCACAGGGCAGGCCCTCCTGCTGGAGCTCCTGTCCTGTGCCTGTAATGAACTGGACGCCATTTCAACCTGGGGACTGATGAGGCCCAGCTGGCCATGGCCCTCCCCTTCCCCAAGCCCAGTTCCCTGGAACCTAGAGCCGTACTGAGGCCTCAGAGGCCCCGCCGCCTGGACCAGGGCAGGGGGGCTCCTCAGTCCTGCTCGAAGCGCCCTAGCCGGGGACCGCTCACCTGGGCCGTTGGGAACACGCTTGGGCATGAGGTGCACCCTGGGAACCTTTCCTCAACACTTGGGCGGCGCCCCTGGCTGCCCAGGCAGGCCCAGAGTGTCCTTCTCACCCGGCCCCAGGCTGCACCCCGTCCCTGCCCGGCCACTGTGACTTGGCATCCTCTGATGCGGGGGCGAGGCCCCCCGCTCTCGGCATGCAGGGGTGGGGGAGACAGAGGATGTAGGAGGCTTTGGGACTAAAGCCGTCCAGATGTGTGGGATTAGGCAGTGCTGGGGCAGGGCTTCGTCCCCTCAAGGCCCTGAAGCTTCCAAAGGGGTCTACTGCCCCCTGTTGCCCACATGGGACACTGCAGGCTTTGTGGCGAGTGTGGGGTCCTATCTTGGGCCAGACAGGAAAAGGGGAGCTCTTTGGGTTGGGAGTTCCCTTGCCTCCAATTCCATCCCCAAAAGACCCCCCCCAATTGTCCCTATACGTGTACCCAGGGTCTGGTTCCCCTGCCTCCTCTGAAGCCCCTGGACTCTCCTGTCTTTCCCCCCTCTCATCTGGGCCCCTTCTCCAAACTCTTCTGCCTTTGCAGCCTGGAGCCCTTCAAGGACCCCAGGACCCCACGCCTGGCACTGTCAGAGCCTGCGCCCCGCCTCGGGAGGGACAGTCGAAGGGGCCCTGCCTCAGGCGCAGGAAGGACCCACAGTGATTGGAGAGAACATTTATTCCTCTCGGGTAGCCTGGCCTTGTGGTCACAGAGCAGAAACTGAGGCAGGAGAGAGCTCAGAAGTGTGGGAGGGGCAGCCGCAGGCGGGGCCACAGGGCCAGGTCCTGGTTTACTTCCCTGGCCGGCCTTAGGCGGTGCCACTGGGTGATGGGCCGGCGGGGATGGGCCAGCATGTCAGCCCAGTGCTGCAGGGGCTGGCCAGAGGCCCGGGGACCCAGCAGAACCTTGCCCACCGGGCCGGCCCGGAGTTGTGGGCCTCGGGTCCAGACTGCCAGCGCCAGGTGCACGCTCTGGGCAGCCAGAGAGAAAGGCAGTGGTCAGTCTGGCCCCTGTGCGGCCCCGAGCCCTTCCTCCCAGAGGCCTACCTGCATGTGGCTGACAGGCACATGGAAGGTGAAGGCTTCATTGAAGTAGGGGGCTGTGCCCTTCCTCCCAGCGGTCTTTCTCTTCTGCCACTTCCTCTGGTGCAGCAGGAGCTGGACCTTGACATAAGACTCTGGGGGGAGGGACGGAACAGACCACGTCCGAGTCTGACACAGGGCACTCAGCCCCATCCACCCAGCCTCCTATCTAACCAATCCTGTGTCCACCAATTCCCATGTCCACCAGCTCCCTGTTCACCCAGCCCTGTCTTTGCAGTTGTCTATCCACTCAGCTGCCTGTCCATCCAGTTCTCTGCCCACCTAACCCTCTGTCACTCAACCTCTCAGTCCACCTAACTCTCTGCCCCATCCTTAGCCCTCTATCTGCCTGAGAAGGCAGCAGTGCTCACCGGCCTGCTCTGAGTCCAGCCCTCGGGCCTCCAGTACCCCCACAGTCAGGCGGCCAGAGCCAGGCACGTACCGCACAGAGAAGCACAGCTCTCCTATTGTCTGCTCGGTCTAGAACAGAAGAACGGCCGTCAGCCCAAGTGGGCCATGCCTGCCAGCCAGCACAAGACCCCGCAGAGAGCTAGCTGGACACTGGGGCTGCCCCTACGCCCGGTGGGCTTCAGATTTCCCTTTAACCCAAAGGCCTGAGCTCTGCTGACTGTGTCACCTGGGCCGTGTCCTCACCTGGACCATGCCCACCTGAGCCGTGCCCTCACCTGGGCCGTGCCCTCACCTGGGCCGTGTCCTCACCTGGGCCGTGCCCTCACCTGAGCCATGCCCTCACCTGGGCTGTGTCCTCACCTGGGCTGTGTCCTCACCTGAGCCATGCCCACCTGGGC